ATAGTCAGTCACTGTTTTTTTTTTTTCCCATTTGGTCTTGAGACAAGCTTTCACAATGGCCTTGAACTCTAGTCCCTTCTGGCTCAGCTTCCCAACTGCTGGCATCACGGGCCTGTAATACCACACCTAGCTTAGGTTGTTTTTTGGTTTGTTTGTTTTTGGTTTTGTTTTACTTTATTAGTGTAAAAATCATACCCTGAGGTAGAGACTCAAAATGGTAATGAGTTGTGTGTAGTGGCCCTGTAATCCCAGGATTTGGTCAGAATGAAGCAGGATAATCTCAAATGCAGGCCCAGCATGGGCAATTTAGTTCCTGTCTCAAAATCAAAAAGTAAAGACCAGGCATAGTGGCATATGCCAGTGATCCCAGCACTTGGGAGGCTGAGACAGCAGGATCACTTTGAGTTCAAGGCCAGCCTGAACTACGTAGTATGACCCTGTCTCAAAAACAAACAACAAGATACTAGTAGAACCAGGCATGGTGGCAACTCTAACTCTCTGGAGGCTAAGACAGGAGGATCACAAGATTGGGCCCAGCCTAGGGCAACTTAGTGAGACCCTGTCTCAAAAGGGCCAGTCAAATAGCTCAGCGGATTAAAGTGCCTGCAAGCAGGCAAAGGGGCCGGGGTTCCATCCCTGGGCCTGTCAGGTGCCCAGGACACGCTGAGATGGCAACTGAGACTGGGCGTGGTGGTGAGCACCTGTAATCCCAGCTCTTGGGAGGCTGTAAGCAGGTGGATCACTGTGAGTCCAATCTAGCAGTGAAACCCTGAATACCCTGTAGACTCTTCCCTAAAAAAAAAAAAAAAAAAAAAAAAAAAAAGAGACTAAGAATGTAGCTCAGTGCAAAGCCCCTGTGTTCAATTCCTAGTAGCAAAATCAATATAAATGAATTAAAAAGTAAGTAATAAACACATTTTCCCCCTTCTCAAAAGGCAGAAGAAGGAACAGGTCCAAGCTAGGGCTGCAGAGAGGTGGCCATAGGTGCAGAGAACCACAACAGCTGGAAGGAGGTACGGGCAGGCTCAGGGTTTAGAGATGGCTATACAGTGGTGATTGGCCTTATCTCTCTGCTCTCTCCCTGGCAAAGGATTTGTCCTTAATTGGGTCCTACATGTGCTATGTGGACACCTTGCTCCTTGGTGAAATCTGAGTTGGAGTCAGTGGTGGGTGGGTGTCAGGCCCGAGTCCTGCCAATGAGTCTCGCTTTTGGAGCTCCTTCTCTCTTGCATCTCTCAAGCCAAAACAAAAAACTAAACACAGAGGGAGATAGCTCAGTGGAGTAAGTGCTAGCCTGGCAAGCGCAAGGTCCTGAGTTCAATCCCTGGTACACTGGGGGGGGGGGACAACAACTCTTGCATCTGTCCTGGTTCCCGAAGCACACCATACGGCGAGGGCCTGAGGCCGCTCCTGAATGCTCCGCCTCACTCCCAGATCAGTGCATGCTACACTTGCGCTGCAACCTGGATGCTTACCAGGGACTTCAGTTACTGCAGCTCCCCCTACAACCTCAGAAATCGTCTGTCTTCTCCTCCATTCTTACATACAGGACTGCACTTCTTAAACCTCCCTCATTGTATTCCCTTTGCACCCTTCGTTCAAACTTCATCTCTCACATGCAATACCAGCAAGAGCTATACCAGCTTTTTTTTTTTTTTTAACTAAGAATTGAACTCAGGACCTTGCACTTGCCAGGCAGGCTCTGTGCCACTGAACTATAACCCCAACCTTTTTTTTTTTTTTTTAATTTACTGTATTTAGTTTAGGGTCTACAAGGTCTCACTACACAGATCAGACTTGTAGTGATCTTCCTGTTTTCAGCCTCCCAAGATCTGGGATTACAGGCGTGCGTCACCACACCCAGTCTCAGTGGCCAGCTCAGTATGCCCTGGGGGTGGGGCTGACAGCACAATGGGAACTGAAACTCGTCCCTGACGGCTATTTTGTTTTGAGAGCGGGTCTTGCTATGTGGTTCAGGCTGCCCTTCTGATGATTCTTCTGCCTTAGCCTCCCCAGCCCTGGGATGAGAAGCACGCCACCATATCCAGCTGTATCTCAGCTACTTTATACCTTTGAAGTCTCTCCTCATTCAAAATTCAAATTCACTCCCTACTGTGTATCTTTTTCTTTTTTGTTTTTTCCATTTTTTGTAACAGATTCTTTTTTGTTTTTAATCAATTCTTTCTTTATTTGGTGCAGGGTCTCACTAGCAGCTCAGACTCATAGAAATCCTCCTGCCTCAGCCTTCCCAGCACTGGGATCACAGGCATGCAACACCACACCCAGCTTGGTTTCTCTGTTGAACTATGTAGTCCAGGCCAGCTTCAGAGTTATAATCCAATCATGAGCCTTCTGCCTCAGTGTCTTTGGATTATAGGTGTGCACCACCCTGCCTAATTCTCTTAGAAATACAAATGCAGTCTCACTCCTGTCAAAACTCTCCATGGTCCTTCTCTTTTCTCTCCAAGAAGCTTCAGGTCTCAGATCTGAAAAATCTTGTCTTAGCTGACCGTCTTAGCTGTAGCCACTTCCCCCAGAATGCTACTATCATCTGGTTTATTTCATTCATGGTCCTTATTACAATCCTAATTCCTGTGTCTGTTTGTAGGTTTATTATCTGTTCCCCACCCCCATCCCTTCTTTGAGGTCTCAGTGTGGGTCACAGTGGAAAGTAACACCCCTCTCCTGTGCCGCTGAAGCACTGCGGTGCTGGGGGGCGCGCATGCCGCTGTAGCCATTCAGTGAGTGAAGGCTTTTCTGGGGGCGCTTCCCAGCTTGCTTCCGCCGCCACGTTTCTGCAGTATTCCTCGTTGCCTAGCTGCTTCACAATTCTTTCTCCAAGTAAAAATTCAACTGTTGGTCTTTTATTTCTTTTCCTATTGTTCCCTTTACCTGGTATGCCCCTGCCCTCCTCGGTCCACTTACCAATTCCTAACTTTTCTGCCAAGATATTTTTAAAGTCACCACTTTGTGTTTTTTGTGGGGGACAAGGTCTATGTAGTTCAGCCTGGCCTTGGAGTCCCTGCGTGCTCTCAGGCTTGCTTCAAGCTTGTGATCCCTCTGCCTCAGCCTCCTGAAATGCTGTGCTTACAGGCTTGGGCCATCATGCCCAGCTCTAAAGTTAGCTCTTGTGTGAACTGTGTCTTCACTTCTTTTCCAAGTATATTAAGTATATGTAGTTTCTTATGACTGTCTGCAGCAAGTAACACAGTACTCACATGTCCTAGGTACTAAACATTTATTGGTTTTGCTATCTAGCTCTGTCATCCTATGGAAGTGTGAGAACCAATTTGTTTGGAGTAACTATAAACAGCTGGGGATTATAGCTCATTGACATAAATGCCTGCCTGGCAAGCACAAGGTCCTGAGTTCAATCCCTGGCACTGAAGGAAAAAAAAAAAGGAGTAACTATAAGTAAAAACCAGGAAAGGGCCTGGCATGGTGGTCCATGCCTGGAATCCCAGCACTCAGGAGGCTAAGAAAGGAGGATTGCCCTAAATTTCAGACTAACCTGGACTACACAGTGAGTTCAAGATCAGCCTGAACTAAACAGGGAGACCTTGTCTCAAAAAACTCAATCCAACTAACCAATCAAACACTCTCCTCCTCCCAACAAAATCAAAACTGTAGAAGTTTGACATTTATCCCTTTCTCTGCCCCTAGGGTCTTGCTTGGTTGCCCAGGCTGGCCTCAGACCTGAAATCTTCACACCCCAGCATCTTGGGTAGCTGAGCTGACGTGATTTGTCACCATGCCCAGCTCTTCTCTTTCACTGCTTTCTGAGACTTCTGGTGGAGCACAGCATGAACTGGTCTCCTTGCCCGGAATTCATAAAGGACATTTTCAGTACACATCTTTGTAAGCAAGCTTTTAAGACCACAGCCTTTAATATATTACTAATTTTTCCAGATGTTGTATCTTCAATTTATTTATTATTTCTTTTGTACTGGGGATTGAACCCAGGACCTTTGCACTGAGCTACCTCCCCAGACTTTTTATTTTGAGGCAGGGTCTGCTGAGGATTCAGGGGTGTGTGTGTGTGTGTGTGTGTGTGTGTGTGCATGTTCAGAGTTTTGAGCTTTGGTTAAAGTAATTTTCCCCTAGTTGACCCTACTCCCCATTTACCGGTGTGACAGCTTGGAATGTAGATGTAATTTGCAGAAGGAAAAAGTATTTTGCTAGGGGCAAAAGAGGTAACTTAATTTCTAGTTCCACCCAAGTGATGGAATACGAGCTCGAAACACAGCCTTGGGGGCAAATGAGGGCCCGAACAGCCTTTGCTAAAATCCCAAATCCCAGTGGTTACTGACGGCTTTTTCAAGTAGTCCCAACTAATTTGTCAAAAGTAAAATTAGTTCATGTTCCAGAATGCGCTGTCATCCCAGTCCTGCCCTGCAAAAGTATTCTCCCGACCAATGCTTAGTGCTAGCCGGCCCCGTCAGGGCATCAGGCCACGCTCTGGCGCCCCAGGTGCCAGATTCTGCGCGAGGCACCGGCCCGCCGCACAGCACCGGCCTCCGCTCCCGCGAGGCAGGCGCCGCTCCGACTTTCCAGGAAAGCACGTGCCGGCCGGGGATTTGGGAGCCCAGGCACAGACCCGCCCCGCCGGCCCGGGGCGCAGGGGGACAGCACGTGGTGCACGCGTGGGTACACAGACCCCGCGAGCGCCGCCGCGGGCGGCGAGAAAGGCGGATCTTCAAAAGCGCCGGAAGCAGTCCCCCGCGGGGTCTGGGACCTGTCCAGGACGCACCTACCCTGCTGGTCACGAGAGTGTGTCCTCCCGAGGAACAACCAACTTACCACCTGAAGCCTCCCAGACAGCTCCCACCCATCGCCCGATAATTCGAGTGAAAGCATGAGAGGAATCAACTTGATACTGCGGACCGGCTGTCACCTCCTGAACTACGTCTCCCGTGAAGCCCAGCGGCGCCGAGGGGCTGGCGCGCAGGCGCGCGCACAGCGTGCGTGATGACGTCAGCAGTTCTAGAACGTTGCTGTGGTAGCGCACGGGCGCCATGTTAGGACGAAGGGGAAGGAAGAGAAGCGCTTAAAGCGGCGGGAGCGGGCGCGGGAGTGGGGTTGGACCCACGGCTGAGGCAGGCTCCCCCTCCCTCCCGCCTCAGTGGATCATGCCCAGGGCGGCAGCGGTGGCGGCGGCAGCGGTTGCGGGGGGGAAGTGATTAGGCGGTGCCGGCGCAGGAGACGATGCCGTTGTAAGTGATTTGTGTTCTGTTTTTTCCCGCACGCCGGCATGGCCTTGGGGGGCGTCGGGGGAGGGGAGGGGGAGTGCGCGAGCCGGGCGCGAGCCCGTGGGGCGGCGGGCGGGACGCGGGACAGCGGTCCTTGGAGTTCGCTCGGGCTCCGCGCTCGCGTCCCTCACCCCTTCCTGGCCGGGTCGGCGGCCGGCGGGCCGGGGGCTTCCCCTCCCGGAAGAGCTCGGCATCCTCCGGCCCGGCCTCCCGCGCGCGTCCTGCGGCTGGTGGGAAGCCACTCGCCACAGCGTCCGCGGCGGAGCAGCAGGCCCCGCTCTGCGTGGGTCCGCGCCGCGCTGCGCTCGCCTCGGGGCCCGGCGCAGGGCTCCGGGCCGCGTCTCCCCCGCTCGGTCTCCGTCCCGCCGGCCGCGAAATGCTCCTGTCGTGCGCCGCAGTCACCTCGCCTCCGCCCGCCGGGCCGAGCGGGCTTCACCGCGAGCTCAGAGCCCAGTGCTGGGCGCTGAGCCTGGTCCTCTGGGCCCCCTTCGTCCCACCTCGCTCCGCAGCGGTCCCCGGGTCCCCTCCGCGGAAAGGCGTAAGGTCAAGGGTTGCTCTGTTTGGTTTTGATGGTGTGACCGGTTTCTCTGCAACTTTCTCCCTCCATCTCTCTAGTGTGTTTTGGTTTGTGAACATAAGCTTGCTAAGCCCGACAGGCCAGCATCCTGCAGTCTTTACCTTACGAAGTCTTTTAAAGTTTCCTTCTCCCTCTCGTCCTGTAAGAATGAGATGTTAATTTGAGAACTCAGGGGTAGGTTCAAAAATAAGTAACAGCTTTTAGTTTGCTTAAATTCTGCGGTGTAGCGGCCTGAACTGTGAGACTGCAAATTCTTTCATGTTTGGAGTTTAAAGTGTGATCGTTCCCCTTTTAGAGGCACCGAGCTTTTTTTTCGTCCATGTAGTCCTAAAAGGAAGCATGTTACTGACAGTTTTGGTTAAACCCAAGATGGTTTTGTGATTTCTAGACAGCTAATTCAGGAACCTTTTGGAAAGCATAACGTTTTAACTTTTAGTTCTTGCAAATATGATTGATAATTGACGTTTATAAATTTGTATGTAGGGGTGTTTTTTTAACAGGTGAGACTCTGGCGTGAACCTTAATGACATATCAAGTTCTAATATAATTCAAAACGAATTTCATGCCTTCTTTCTCATGCCCTTGCTTCATTTGAACGTCCCTGAGGTTTTGTTTAGAGACTTTTCAATTTTTCTCTAATGAAAACATTTCTTAGCAATTTTCCGATATAGAGGGAGGTTTAAAATCTGCAAGGTTGATTCTAGGAGAAGGAGTCTAGGGATTTTTGTGGTGTTTTTCAGTTGTTTTTTGAGGTATTAAAATAAACTTAAGTGTTTAGGGGTTGGGGATATACAACGGTACACCAGTTTGTCTAGGTGCCTTGAGACCTTGGTTCAGTACCCAGTCTCTCCCATCCCTGTTCATTTTAGATGTTTACTTAAAGTGATGTCATGTATGACATCGTCTTGATGGGGGTTGAGACAGGGTTTTCTGTATGTAGCCCAGACTGACTTGCAGTGATCCTCCTGCCTCAGCCCCCGGAGTGTTGGGATTATAGAATGCTTTTGTGGCCATTCCTGCCTTGACGCACTTTTTTATTCTCATTTTATAAAGAGATTTTGTATAATCGTGTCAGTATTAAAAAACGACAGAGAATATACATCAAAAAGAAAAGGTTAGCCAGGTGAGGTGGCTCACCTCTGTAATCCCAGCACTTGGGAGGCTGAGGCAGGACGATTGCCAGGCATTCTGGCCAGCCTGAACTATAGCCAAACCCTGTCTCTCAAAACAGAAAAGGAAAAACCACAAAGGAAAAGAAAGAAAAGGCTTTAATGAATAAATAATATTAATTTGTCTTTTTTGATAGAATTAAGTGTTCTTACACCTATTTCCAACTTTTGGGGGAGGAAGGTATAAATAGCTGTGACATTTTCCAACAGATGTACTAAAGTTGAAGGAATACAGAGAAAATGGGCATAGTTCTTGCACACAGGTAAAAAAGGTAAACTTTCAGGGCTGGCCAAGTAGCTCAGTGGTTTAAAGCGCCTGCAAGTAGTCGCACGGCCAGAGGTTTGATCTCCAGGCTTGCAGTGCCAGCCCCATCCCCTGGGCGCTCTTGAGATGGTGATTGAGACTGGGTGGGCATGGTGGCTCACACCTGTAATCCTAGCACTTGGGAGGCTGTAAACAGGAGAATCACTAAAGTTGGATTTAGTAGTGAGACCCTGAACACTGTAGATCCTTCCCTAAAAAAAGATAAACTTTCAACACAGAAAATGCTTTGGATTCCTTGGGAGTTAATTCAGATGTATAGAATGGAAGAGTTAAGACACATTCCCACAGAGATACCACCTTTCTCATGTGTTCATTGAGATTTGAACTATATAGCCAGTTTTTTTATTGTCACCCCCTTTTAGGCATAAATATTCTGTAATTGTTTAAAAATGGTAGAATGGTCAGAGACTTGAAAAATGTTGGTTGTCTTCCTTATTAAATTGCTTTTCTTTAATTTTTCTCTTGGGATACTGGGGATTGAACTACTCCTGAACTCCAGAATGTTAAACACAGGCTTGATCACTGCAGGACACCTATGCTGGCTTCCTTTGTTTTTTTCCTTTCTTTCTTTTTTTTTTTTTTTCTTTTGGTACTGGGAATCAAACTTAGGACCTTGTGCTTGCCAGGCGGGCTCTGTGCCTCTGAACTATCTCCCTGACCCTCTGTGGTTTGTTGTTGTTGTTGTTTTGGCACTCGGTGTCATATTTTCATTGTTTCTTTGATGTGCTTGTTGAATTATGATTTCGTTTTTATTTAATATTTTGCATGCCAGAGTTTGAGTACTAACATCATGTTAGTGCATGATAGGCAAGTGTTCTACTATCGAGTTAAAACCCCAGCCCATTCATTTCCTAGCTGTTCAGTATTTGATTTCCAGCTTGAGTTACGTGTTAAATTTGGGTGAGTGAGATTGGGTAATGGATCTTGTGTGAGAGTGGGTTAAATCAATGTTGAAAATGTGATCAAATGTGTATACATTTTGTTTAAACTTCGTACACAGTTACATACATAATTTAGGAAATATTGCTGTGTTTTAGAAGCCAACCTGGAAAACTTTCAAAAGTTTTGATAGTTTTAGGATCCCTTTCAACTCACCATGTATCCCAAGCTGGCTTGAATTTGCTGCAGTTATCCTGCTTAGCCTCTCCTGAGTGCTGGGATTATAGCCATGTGCCACCATGCCATTAATTGAGTACCATATTTAGTGAATACTATTGACATTTAGTCCAGATAATTACTTTCAGGGGGCTATCCCATATATTGTGGGGTGTTTAACAGTATCCCTGTACCTGTGTTCACAAGATGGTCCCTCACCTGTCATCTCCAGGTTTAGCCCAGCGTACTCCATGGTACATAACCTTTTGGTTGAGAACCACTACATTAAGACAAAGTATGAAAAATACATTGTGTTCTTGCCCTACTTTGTGCTGGTCAGATCATTGTTTATATCAGCACAGTTCTGGCTGTCATGCGTAAAAAAGACATAAAAGAGAATAGCCAGTATCAGTGACCTAGCATTTGTGCCATATTCAGATGTTAGTGGAAGAGATATTGAAGAAGACTTAGAGAATCTAGTAGCTTTCCTCCCAAACACTTGTGAGGGCTGTTGGGAGAAATAGAATTATATTAGTCATGAAAGGTAGACCTGGGACCTCCTGGTTGGTAGTAATGCTGGGGTAGCAGTGGTTCTCACAGTGAGATCTGTGATGTTTGATGAGAAGAGTTGTTAGGATTGATTTTTTTTTTTTTGAGACAGGGTCTTGTTGTGTAGCTCAGGCTGGAATTGAGAACACATTAAGTAGCCAAGACTGGTTTAAAACATGAAGACCCTCCCGCCTTAGCTTCTCCTAGTTTTGGGATTGCAGGCCTGAGCCACCACTCCAGGTTGATATTGTCTTATTCTGGTTATTTCAGTTAACATGATCTCTGTTCCATTTTTCTGCAAAAAAAACCATAATTTTGTTCTAAGTAATACTTAATTGTGTATATATACACCATATTTTATCCATTCATTAGCTGATTGCACCTAGGCTGATTCCACAGCTTTGAGAATTTGACTCTCAGATTCTAAGTTTCGGAGATTTGTGGTGTATTTCAGGCAGCCTAGTAGATGTTGGTTTTGGTTTTGGAATGCCGAGCATTATTAAGTCATTAAGTTGTCATGGCTGAGCTTCAACTTGCAATCTTTCTGTCTCAGCTTCAGAACATACGGGCACCATCATACCTGGCTGACTGTTCATGTATGATTTTTTTGATGCAGAACTTGAAAAGGAAGATAGTAAATAGTGGAATCGAGTATATGAACCTATATAATTCCTGTTTCCTGACTTCGGGGCTTCTACCTCCAGCTTGATAATGTAAAACATTTTGACGTATTAGAACATTCTTTTCTTGGGTTCTAAGTCAGCCTTTTTTTTTTTTTTTTTTTGTCAACTTTTTGAGACAGAATCTCACTGTACTACTGTTCAGGCTGGCCTTGAGCTCACTTGGAAGCCCAGGCTGATTTCAAACTCACAAGGATCCTCTTGCCTCAGCTTCCCAAGTGTTAGGATTATAGGCATGCACCACCACACCTGGCTAAGGCAGCTTTAAGTTAAGATTACACTTAAATTTTACCCTCAATTGCATTTAGGCGAGTTTATGAAACAGTTTCTCATAAAATGAGGCCGTTTTGATTCTTAGCTATTTCTCATTTCTTGTGTCTTATTCTATACATTCAATATTTTGTCTGACAGCCTTTAAATAATTGGACAGTCTGAGCTTATGGATTATAGTGCAGCAGCATTTTTTTTTTTTTCAGGAGGTACTGGTTCTCTTTCAAACTGGTTAAATTGGGCTTCCAAGTAGCTCCTTGACCATAGTTTTAAAGGTGTTGTACATCAGTGCTTGAATT